AGGAGCATAAAACTTCATATAATAACTCTCAATTGGTTGCAGCTCCCAAAGTAAAAATTGCTGCTTCCTTCAGATCTATCCAAAAAGAAAATTTAAAAAATTGATCTTCCCTTTTTTTTAATACTGTGTGCATCCACCTTCTGTGAAGAACAACTAAAATGTTCCCCTTAAAAAAAATTGAAAAGTTGTCATATCACTTACATTATTCTTATTTATTTGTGTCCCGCCTTTATTTTTATAAATAGCTCAGGGTGGTAAACATATCTATCACACCTTTCTCTTATTTTCCACATAACAACTCTTGAGATGGGTTGGAGTCAAAGTAACCAGCCTAAAGTCACCGTTGGCTTCCATGGCTAAGGTGAGACTAGAACTTACAGACTCCCACCTGCCAACCTTGTGCCATAGCCACTAGACTAAATGGGCTGTCTACCTAATTGTCTACTAAAATCAGAAACCTCAAGCACGGGGGCCAAATTGATTAAAATTTCAGTTATGTTTGAGAAATCACTGAGGTTGGCTTGAGTTCTCTCGGTCTGGAGAAGGATAAATATTCCTATTATTAAAAAGGAAAAAAGATACTAGATACAAATAGACCAGTAAGCTTCATATTGATACCGGACTAAATGTGGAACAGATTATTAAAGTGGCTAGTTTGTGAGCAATTAGAAAAGAGTTCGTTGCAAATTCATTGGCAAAACCCAGCATGAATTTATCAAGAATAGAGTAGAAAAGGAGGCCAAATTGATCTCCATTTTAATAGAGTGATCAATTTAATTGGCCAGAAGAATATAGTAGGCATAATGTACCTCAAGTTTAGTGAAGCAATTGACAAGTGTCTCATGAAATTCTAGTAAAAATGAGAAAATTGAACTGGATTAGGTTACCATTAGATGTTCCTATTAGTTTACATCAGTTACTTAATGTCAAGTTCATGGGAAGTAGTGAGGGGCACACCACAACCCTCTATTCTCCGCCCTCTGTTGTTCAGTATATTTATAAATGATTTGCACAGAGGATTAGAAAATATCAAATGTGCAGATGATGCACAGATAAAGGAAATAGCAGACACCCCAGAGGACGGTATCAGAATAAGCCTTCCTGTTTCTATATACTGTATCAAAGGAGCCAGAGGGAAATTATTGGGTCTTCAAATTTCTATTATTATGCCCTACAACAGTGAAGTAGAGTTCCAGAATTCTTGTGGCATATGCTACTAGAACTAGCCTAGCTTACAAGGCTGACATCATTGGTTTGAGGTTCAATAAATCATCATTAAGTTGACTTACAACTTACATCTTGGCTGAAAGCAAAGTGATGAGTCAGTGCCCTGTCTCAGTGTCTGGAGGCTGTCTTGGTCTGGACAGAAAGGAAAAGATTCAAGCCCAATCCTGAAAAGACTAAGTGACAGTAGGTATTTGGGATAATGGGTCCAGGAAACTTTCCACCTTAGTCTTAGTTGGGTTAACATTTTTCACTTAAGAGCATCACACGCTATGATTTAGTTTAAATAGTATGCCCCTGAAGAGTACACAGCTGGTTCAGAATGCAGTGGCTTAGCAATAATGGGCTTGCTACAGTATGTGACAACCATCATTCTGGGAGCTGCGCTGTATTATCATCAGTTGGCTTCTGGGTGCAAACAGTTATTACTTATAAAGCCCTTTATGCTGTAGAGTTTAATTGAAGAACTTTCAGTCTCCAATAACTTCTGCTCATCATGTAAAGCTGGGCATAATGGGCACATTCCTAGTTCTTTCAATTAAATAATATCATTTTGTGGAACCTAGAAAGAGTGCCTGCCCTTTGGGACAACATTTCCCAAGAAATTTATTTGGCTCCCACATTGATGTTCAGAAGGCCACTGAAAATAGGGCTAGTAGGATCAGGGTGGGAGTGGCGTTTATCTTTGGTTATGGATAGTTTGTCTGGATACCTATGGCTCCTGCTTTTTTTATTGTTCTTGCTTTTAAAAGATAAGCTGTTCAGAGTCTTGTGGAGTTAGATAGCATCTAATTGTAAAATTAAATTAAATTAATCATATACAGTGTTTGGGTAGGAAAAATTAAAGACTTGGGCAGCAGTATGTACATTAAAAATAATCTGGATACCGTGGTAAATTACAAATTGAAATACAGCTGTGTGAAAAAGTCCTGCATGCTTTACGATTTATGGTTTATGACATTTTTTGGATAGGCCATTGATTTTATGATATTTTATGCTAACTGCTATGCAAATACTGTAAATATAATAAATACTGGTGGTTTTTAACCTAAAAGCATAAGCTTTTTGCAATTTGGTGCTGTTTGGATAGGGATTGTGAATTTTCTTGCATGCTTACAATGCATGCTTACAATGACTATGAAAACAGATTAACTGATGCATACCCAGTGGCATACATGTTGCAATTACCAAGGCCAGTGCTAGTGTTTTGTTAACATTTGTATTATTTGTGGCCCTGAAAAGGACCGTTTAGGTAACCAAACATGGTTACTAATATGAAATTGGCCAGCCCTTTTTGCTTATCACCAGGTGAGGTGTGCGAGGTGACCAAAGAGGCATGCTGATAAGGGATGCAGCCAGCACTCACCGTGCCAAAGACATGAAGCGTTTCCTTGCACAGAGAAGAGTGGATCAAATAATGATTCCAGCAGGAATGCGGCACATCTCCAAACCCTAGACATTGCAGTAAACAAACCATTCAAGGACAATCTGCAGGTACAAATCAATGACTACATTGAGAATTGCATGGAGAGAAACCAACAAGGTTTCTTGTTCATGAAGCCTAGCCTGGCAGAGGTTGTGAGTTGAGTGAAGAAGGTATGGGATACTATCACTGACACCTGTGTTGCCAACGTACTATGATCAGGATGCATGGACAAGAGGTCTCCTGTTTAAGGAGACCTCTATTGCTAGACATCAGTGATTGGGATCATCCTTTTGCAGGCAATGGAATCACAAGAGATTCCAGCTGGAATTCAGGGTTTGGAGAGTTATGACGATGTTCCAGAAGAAGATGACATAACTGTATTTGAATAAATTGTTCCTGTATTTGAATAAATTTGTTCCTATATTTGAATAAATTGTTTCTATATTTGAATAAATGGGTTGGTTTATTTATTTATTTTTAATAAAATGGTGGATTTTTTTAATAAATTGGAGTGTTGCTTTGTGGTTCCCCTGGTGGGGTTGGCTGGGATTTGGCATGCAGTTGGTAAGTTACAAAAGGATCTGCTTTGTGATCAAAGGCAATGTGAAATGGGGCAGGGTTAGGGTTAGAAATAGCAGCTTGCGCTTAACAGAGTTTCTGAACCTGAAAGTTCCCTTCACTCCCCCCATATGGCTGTTCACTTGGACGCAGGAAAAAAAAAACCCTCAGAAAGCCACCCAAGTCAACAAGCATTTGTTTCTTTACAATCCACATGCCTTCTTGTATTTTAATTCTCCTTCCTCCTCTCCCACCTGCTGTTTTTGAAGTAGGGCTGCTGAACAGCTAACCAATTCAGGTTTGCAAACACTGGGTGATTCCAATGGATTCCTCCCCACCAATATCTTTCTCTAAAGAAAAGTTGATCCAACT